TTGAAGGCTTTTTTTTTAAGCAAAATATCAATTTAGTCCCTAAACTATTGTATTAAAGTCAAAATAGTCCCTAAACTTCTTTTGAATCAATTTAGCCGCTCAACTATTTTTAAAAAGTTGAAATATCCTTGAACTTTATTATGAGTCAATTTAACAGCTTAACTATTTTCCTAAGGCGAAATAGTCCCTCACCTATGTTTACGTGGCTAATTTGGTCGTGATTTGGCTAATCTGTCCAATTCATCAACTTTTGGCACCGACAACCAATGACATAATAAGAAACCCAACCATAGCCCTTATTAGAACAATAAAAAAATTGATATTTGCTGAAAAATCGACAACATAATTGAATCATATCGAAATAAAAAAAAAGTTGAGCTTCCTTTCAACTTTGTTTTTTAAAAAGTAATCATAATAATAGCACATTTTTTCCAACTTTTTACATACTGTTGTTGTGTTATTTTCTCTTTTATCCATTTAATGGAATATGTTGGATCATGAAATTTTTTGCATCAACTCCTTTTTTTATCCATAAGAAGCTCTATAATTTTATTTGTTCTCTATATGATTCAATTTTGTTTTTAATTTTTTTTTTTACAAATATCTATTTTTCTATTATTTTAATAAGGGTAATAACTGAATTTCTTATTTTGCCCCCGGTTGTTAGTGCAGAAGATTGATAAATTGGATGAATAAGCCAAATAAAGACCAAATTAGCCACGTAAATAAAGGTGAGGGACTATTTCAGCTTAAGTAAAATAGCTAAGGGACTAAATTGGCTCATAATAAAGTTTGAGGACTATAGCTTCATAAAAATAATTGAGGAACTAAACTAACTCACAATAAGGTTTAAGGACTATTTTGGCTTTAGAAAAATAATTTAAGGACTAACTTACAATTTCATTCTTGCTTTTTCCATTTATACTATTAGAAAATTCAAGACAAACTATGTAGCGTAAAAAACTCGTATATATCTGTCATAATAAAAAAATGTATATTTCTAGCAATTCGACTATTTAAAAAGATATTAGTAAACTAAAATTTTAAATTACTTAATATATAAAGGTATCTCTCAAAAAAATAAAATAACTGATATTTTTAGTTTCTTTTTTTATATAGTTTATTAACTGTTATGTTATTATGATTTGAATTTTTTTACTATTGTTATTAAAAATTATTGTATTCTAAACTCTAGATGTGTTGATTTAAATAATATTTGAAATAGTTTATGTGCATAGATAACATACTTTGTCATAGCACAGACCCTATGATAATTATTATTTTCAATATATAAAAGCAAGAAAGATAGAAATAAATAAAGAATAAGTTTAAAAAGATTAAAATTAACGTATGGATAATATTTGCAAAGAACAGAAATTATTGGATCACATGAGAGATGGGAAGAAAGACAAGTAGAAAAGGACAAAAAAAGGAGAAAAAATGAAATAAAGTAACAATTCTTATGGAATGGATACTTTTGTCCTAAAACGTAAAATAGGGGACCAAGTGCCTATTTACTGAGTTGAGGGGAGCAAACTGCAAGTAAGGGTGGATAAAATTTAAGGGGTTTAATGCTTCTAACCCTAATTTGAAATTGAAAGGCGACGACGGAAGTAGACTTTTTCCACTTCTTTCTTGCGTTGCAAACAATGCTGCATGGTTAGATACCAGGTTTGCCAAAATCACCTAAAATGATAATCAAACAGAGGAAATAATAATCAACTGAAAATTTGATCTCGAATACCAGATTGCACAATGTATCTAGCATTTTTTGTGAATCGTAAGGTTTTTTTTTTTCCCTTAGTTTGCCAAACAAAGTCAGAAAACTCCGACTCCTAAGTGAATAATGGAAACAAAACCTCCCAACTTTCGGATTCCTCCCTGCTAAAGATTAAAAAGTCTTTATATTTACTTGATTAACTCTGTAGATTTATTTTGTATTTTGCTGATCATAATTAGTTCATTGGCGGGACTGCAACTTCTGACAATTGTGGTGCCAGCAGCTTTACAGTTGAATTTTGGAGGAAGAAGTTCTGATAATGGAGACAATCTTGGTGGTTTTGGTGGCATTTGTCACAATGACTCTAAGGAACCTATACTGATATATAGAGGTGCTCTTGGCAAAGTGGATCAAACTGCTGCCTGTGTTGAGGCATTGATGTTTGGCCTGACAGAGCTGTTAAAGATCCCTAAGGTTACATGAAATTTGATCGTGGAGGGAGATGATAATTGGGTCATTCAATGGGCTAACAAACTCCAACACGAAATTCCAGAAGAAGTTCATGAATCTCTGAGCAGAGCACTTGACGTGCTCAGGGAGTTCCACGCAGTCATTTATCATATTTATGAAGAAGCTAACTTGGTTGCTAATAACTTGGCAAAGAAAGGCGCTTTGTCAGGCAACCATGTTTATCTGGCAGGCCAAAATGCTCAAGATTTAGAGGATGTTGATAACCTTGTTAAGAGCTTACAATTAGTGGATTAATCTTTGGGCATTTTTTTTTTTTTTTGTTTGACTCTTTTTTGTATATTCTTGAACTCGGAATATATAGTTGGAAACTGGGAACAAAATTTTTACTCCGTGAGTACCTATGGCTATGGTACTTCTTCTGTGGTATCCAAAGGGTATCATATATAATAAAAATGTTAAAAGGGTATTATCAGTTGTTTCCTCCTCAATTAAGTTGTGACAATCAAATAATGAGTTGTGGATGAATCTGGCTTGTCAGTCTCATGGTTATGCGACAGAGAACCCCTTCATTTACCTTTAAATAAAGCTGTTTGCTGATCACTTCAACACCAATGAGAAATGTGAAATAATAGACAGTAGGGCAGGTTGATTAAAGAATGCGCTGGAATTTTCCCCAGAAAAGAAAGATTACCTCTGCTGTTGTACTGACTACAAAAAGTTTCAACAACCAATGCCAAGGACATGATCAACAACCAGCAACCTATCCCTAAACCGATATGCTTTCACAGATAAAGCATGCATTCATAGGAAAATTGAATATCATCGTCATTCATGATTTAACCCTCATTACCCTTCTTCCTCCTCTCCTGCAGACAAAACACACATACACACATAGTCAAATTTATCCATCCTGTTTCAACATGGAGAAGCGAATCCAACTCAGAGATGAGCTGCTTTTGCAGCATCCTTATCTGCTGTTCCTTGTTCTGGCTGTAGGGTTCCTAGTGATGGACCCTTTTGATTTAAGTCCTGTAGGAGGGATTGATTTTAGGCCTGTGAAAAATGATGTTGCACCATACAAGCAAGTCATGGAGAGTTGGCCTAGAGACAACAGGAGCCGCCTAGGAGAGGGGAATCTGGAATTTGTAGATGAAATTTTTGGACCCGAGTCTTTGGAGTTCGATATCCAGGGTCGTGGCCCTTACACTGGTCTGGCTGATGGACGCATTGTAAGGTGGATGGGGAAAGATGCAGGATGGGAAACATTTGCATTAGTAACTCGTAACTGGTGAGCTTTATGGTAACATCTGCAGCATTGACTAAGTCACACTAGATAATAATACTGTAGCAAAACAACCTAGGAAACATGTTTCTTTCTTCAAGCTTGACCACCACTTCTCTATACATTTAGTTTAATGCTTAACAGTGCAAATATGAACTGCTGGTTCATGTCAAGATTATCATCTGAGCAGGAGTAATGTGATCAAGGATTGACCTCTGCAAATAACATACCTGATTATGCTAATTAGCTTTAACTAATTAATTTAGGAATTGTCCCAGCTAAGTGCTAATTTTTGACCTTCACTTGAAAGGACTGAGAAACTCTGTGCCAAAGGGAAAGATTCAACAAGCAGCAAGCACTGGAAGGATGAGCCAAAATGTGGCCGACCCCTTGGCTTAAGGTTTGATAAACAAACTGGGAAGCTATACATTGCAGATGCTTACTATGGTCTCCTGGTAGTGGGGCCTGAAGGAGGAATTGCCACTCCTTTGTCAACTCAGGTGGGAGGCAAGCCCATTCTATTTGCCAACGATCTCGACATCCATAAAAATGGATCCATTTTCTTCACAGACACCAGTACAAGATACAATAGAGTGTAAGTTCAGCAGATCTGGCAATTAATTTTTTTTTGTTTTAACTAAATAAAAGATGACTATAATTTGTATGTGCACTAAATCAACTTTTTGTTGTTTGAATGTGATTGAACACTAAACACCCTGCTGAATGCAGAAAGCATTTCTTCATACTACTGGAAGGAGAATCTACCGGTCGACTCCTAAGATATGATCCTCCAACTGGAACAACTCATGTGGTCTTGGACGGCCTGGCATTCGCTAACGGAGTCCAATTATCTAAAGACCATACCTTTCTCCTCTACACTGAAACAACCAATTCCAGGTTAGTGAGGCCACTAAAATTCTTGTATGTAAAATTTCCCTTCCTGTAACTGAAACCCTACAAACTCATTAACACTTCGTGCATGACAGGCTAATGAAACTGTGGCTGGAGGGTCCAAAATCAGGCAGCAGGGAGCTTGTTGCAGACCTTCCCGGATTCCCAGACAACGTGAGGATAAATGAGAAAGGGGAATTCTGGGTGGCAATAGATTGTTGTCGAACGAAGGTACAGGAGACTCTGATTCGAAATCCCTGGATGAGGAACGTATATTTCAGGTTACCGATTCCAATGCGGTACTTGGCTAGGATGGTTGGGATGAAGATGTACACCGTGATCTCACTCTTCAATGAGAAAGGAGAGATTGTGGATGTTCTTGAAGACAGAAAAGGCAAAGCGATGAAGCTAGTCAGTGAAGTGAGAGAGTTGAAGGGAAAATTGTGGATTGGAACTGTGGCTCATAATCACATTGCCACCATCCCTTACCCCTGAACTCAAAACTTCAGAAAACTTTCCGCCTCTTGGTCCAGGCGCATTTGTGTTTAGCTCTTGATAATGTGAGAACTTTCAACACCAAAAAAAAAAAAAAAGACTTTTATCCTTGGATAAATGGACACTTCTAGTTCCAACCAATTTCTTTAGCTTTAAAGTCACAAAACCAAGATAAATTACTTAAGATCTCATCATCGCTGTCATAAAATAAAATTTCTCAATAATTAATTATCAAATCAAATCTAATCTAATCTAATCTATAAAGAACTCCAAATTCACCACCCTCTTCTATTGGCTATATTACATACATTTTGCCAAGATGCCAATCTACCTTTGATGACCCGTTGATCGATCCTAATAAGAAACGGTAGCAAGCATTAGACCACTGATAGTGACGACTTTGAGCATATTGTCATGGAGATATTCTGAGTATTGATTTAATTCTTCAACCGAACCGGGGGATGAAGGACATCACATCACTGATATCTTTGCCGGCCTCGCCCTTCCCAGATATTTCACCTCCAAATTATTGCCCTGTAATGCATGCTTGAGGGATATGAAACTCGGAATGTGGACAACAACTTCGGTGACCCAGGGCTCCAGGACCTTAAAATCTTTGAAAGTTCCTGCTCGAGGACTGTATGAAACTACAGAATTGTCGGAGACAAGCCACAGATCCCCGTTGCTCAGGAATTTGATGGGGCGGTTCAAATGTTCCAAGCGCAAGCCAGAATAGAAGTTTATGGTGATGCTGAAATCTTTCGTCCATGATTCCTTCACACCATAATCTTTCATTACCCAAGCCTCGAAAAGATTATCCTCGTAAACATAGCAAAGACAGAGACATCCTCCTAGTATGCCTACCGTAATCCAGGAGATTTTGTTGACATACGATTGACTAAAGTGACGCGGTGTTGGAAGATGCTTGAAGCATTCTTTCTCCAAATCCAGTGAACAAATTAAGTCAGAAGGATTGCAACTAGTAGTAATCCAATGAAAACAGCCATTTAGAAGAGGATCAAATGATCCCTGAATCTTGGGACAAGGAACATTGTATATCTTTCTCCAGGACGTCGAGCCCAGTGTATGTATCTCTACCATTACTTCTGTTTCAGGTGTGAATACTAAGGAACCAACAACATATGTTACACACATGAATCGAACAATCTTATACTGCCTAGTGCCTGGGCAGAAGCCAAATCCGGAATGGTTCATGTATGTATAGGCCGGTGTTGATGAAGGCAGACAACCGGAAACCACATATTCGCCCAGAATAGGATTTAAAATGACATAAGCGTTTTGTAACGCATAATATAGACAGAGCAGCCCATTACATGATCCAACTATAACAGCTTCCCTTGCAGAAAAGTAGAAATCAGCATTCTGCGTGGTTAACGAACGACAGGGATGGGATGGACTGCGAGCACGACAAATGTCATGATGACAGGCCGTGCTACAAGGGGCACCTTTGGAGACCTCATCAATGTCGAGCAAATGGAAGCAAAGAAGCCCCTGCTGGAATATATTCTTCTGAAGAGCCAAGCTAACTGTGGTGAGAGAAGTCTTTGCTAGGTGCAGTTGGGCAAAATAAGGTTGTGCGAGGAGGTCAAGGAATGCTTTGCACACTAGTCTACAACAGCATATGCTCTTCAATGGAAGTCTGGAAAGTATATCATAAATTAGGTTGACAGGGAGTTCAAGTATAGGAAAATTTACAAAGAGGGTCACTGCTGCTGTTTCAAATTCCGACTGCTGTACATCAATCCAGTTCCAGCCACTCTTTTTTCCAGTACCAGGGAGCTGCTCGAGTCGCCTTTTCCTTTTCTTTCCAGTCAGGGCCATTCTCCAGATTTAAGGCGTCTTACCTACCTAGAGGAAGATATATTAGCCCAAATTAGTACAAGGCCCTTGAGATTTTCAGAAAAGAAAGTATAAATTCAACCCATTGTCAACAACACTGGCAGCTCATTCTTGTTTGACAACAAGCAACCAATTGAACATATGTATTTCTATAGCATCAAAAAGATGAAGCTAGACTGACGGCCACCCAAATGCCCATATAATCAGAACAATAGAAATTCTCACGCAAACAAACTATATGCAAATACAAACGAGCCAGACTCCAACGAAAAACTTGAAAATTATCCAGTAAGGAGGAGTTCACAGAGGAGATCAAGACGCTAATGCAGCTATTTGTATACATCAAGGCAACACAAAACAGACGTGAAAAGCATGTAAAAATCAATTAATTTGCACCATTTAATTAATTCTAAACTTAATAACAACAATCAAGTTTCTATACATAAATCTAAAAGAGAATTAAAATGCTGGAATTTAACCATTCACTTTAAACCCCAAAAGTATGTGGTAGTAAGTCCAAAGCTGATGTATATACTCCTGGAGTTTGACCGCCATAAAACAGGGCATGCATGCTTTAAATCTGGGCAGTTTGACCGCCATAAAATCATTTAGCTCTCTCTTTTCTTTTCTTTTCTTTTCATTTTTTCCTTTTTTTTTTGGTCCCTTCTTCTCAGTTTTAAACTTTTCCTAGCTATCAGCACCATGGGGAAAGCTCAAATACCAAGAATCAATAATCCCACAAACAAAATGATTAATCTTTACGATATTTACCCATGAACTACTGTTTCATTGGAATTCCCATTTCCCCCTCTATTTTCTGAAGCTTTCTTTCACCCTGCTGACATTTTAAACTAGTCTAACTTAATTTAAACCTTTCATTCCATGTCAGAGATTGTTGCATGCAACTCAAAATACCTCAAATATTCAAATCAGCTTCAGTTTTCAAGTAGTAACACAAAACACAAGCAACCCAATTCAATTTCACAGCTTATTAGCTTCTACAAAAATTAAAAACCAAAATCACTGAGAATTCAAATGCCATGATCATTCTTTATCGATGAGAATGAAATTAAAGAAACAGAGGGTACCGATTGAAGCGTGAATCAATCAAAATTCGCAGAGACTATTCAACTGGAGAACAAACCCTTGTACCAAATTCTGCAATTGGAGAAAACTCACTTGTTTTTTTTTCTTTTTTGGGGATTTGAAAGGGGAGGTGAATTGGGATGAATTTTGGACAGAGTGCTGTGTGAATAAGCACCGAATAGCAGTTATAAAGAAGAGCGAAGGCACGAGGAAAGCCAGAGTACGAAACTATGAATTCCAGTTCTACACGGAACTCATACATTCCTGGGCCTCGTTTTGTAATTTCTTTAAAGGCCCCAAACGATTCTTTGAATCCAAACTGCTTGTTTCATTGGGTCCTAGAAATCAGCCTGGAAAGGTTCGGGCATGGATCATGGATGAGCCTAGGGTTTTTTTTTTTTTTTAAACGGTCCTAGTCCAAAGAGTTGAGAACTCTTGAACACTAATGATACCTGTATTCATCAAAACCTGTACCCTAACAGTGCGATAAATGTCTCCTCGAAAATATATAAACTAGACCACTCGTTGAAAGTAATGCTATGTGGCCACTTTCTGATACTCCCTCCGTCCCGTTTTATTAGTCTTGGTTTTTTTTTCACACAGATTAAGAAAGTGTAATTAATTTGGTTGGAAACATAAATTTAGATTAATAATTTCCTAAAATACCCTTATGCTAATCACGAATAGTGCATTGGAAAACCTCAATGTATTCAATGTAGTGAGTTAGTATTTAATAACAATGTATTAATAACAAGATATTTAATAAGGGTATTTTAGACAATTTGAAAGATTACTACATTCTTTAATGGGGAAGTGGACTACAATTTGGGACAGACGAAAAAAGAAAACAAAACTATAAAAGTGGGACGGAGGGAGTACAAAATTGTGACTATACAATTTGAAACTCCTAAAGGATGCTGCACAAATTACAATTATTACATCCAACAATTGTCCACAGATAGAAATTAAATTTCTTAATTTATATACAATATGAATTCAAATTTAAATTTAAAATCATACAAATGTAGCATGCGTTCATGTCTGTAGTTTTGTGTATGATCACGTGACACTTTTGGAACGCGTTGTGTATAATTACTATAATTTATTGTGCATTTCCTCCATTTTCAACCTTACATAAATGATAAAGGGAAAATCGTCCAAAACGTCCCTCACATTTTGTAAAATGACTTTTTTCATCCCTTACTTTTAAAAGTGCAATTTTATGTCCCTTACATATTCACATCGGTCAAATTTAGTCCCTGACTAGGTTTCCGATCATTTTTTGGCCGGAATCCATCACGTGCCTTGCACGTGATCATTTTTTAAGGGTAAATTATATTTTACATAATCTCATCTATAGTCCTCCATATTTTATAAAATAAATTTTTTCGTCCCTCACATTTTATAAAATGATTTTTTCATCCCTCATATTTCACAAAATGAATTTCTCCATCCTTCACATTTCAAAAAATGAATATTTTCATCCCTCACTAATTATGTATGTGAGGGAAACCTTAAAAAAAATGTGTGTGAATACATTTTGTTTAAACACAAGTATATGTCTCTATTTGATTTTGCTTAATAATCCGAATAGTATAAATATATGTACGTGTCTATTTGATTTCACTTAACAATACGAATACCATATATTATACGTGATCATTTGATTTCATCTGGTATTAGCTAGTAAATAATCTTGCATTCATTGTCAAGTTAGCCAATAAAGCTATTTTCGGTCAAAATACAATAAGAATATGCAAATTAAGATTCTATTGGTAAATATTAGTCATAATCATACAAAAAAAAAGAAAATAGCCCACAAGTTGAGCTCAATTACATACATGTGTTTATACTATTATTATTAAGCAAAATCAAATAGACATATATGTGTGTTTAAAAAAATGTATTCACACACATAATTAGTGAGAAATGAAAAATTCATTTTGTGAAATGTGAGAGATGAAGAAATTTATTTTGTGAAATGTGAGGGATGAAAAAAATCATTTGATAAAATGTGAGGGATGAAAAAATTTATTTTATAAAATGTGAAAAACTATAGATGAGATTATGTAAAATATAATTTACCCTTCAAAAATGATCATGTGCCTTGCACATGATGGATTCCGGCCAAAAAATGATCGGAAACCTAGTTAGGGACTAAATTTATCCGATGTGAATATGTAAGGGATATAAAATTACACTTTTAAAAGTGAGGGACGAAAAAAGTTATTTTACAAAATGTGAGGGACGTTTTGGACGATTTTCCCAATGATAAAACTATAGAAGATTATATAGTTATTTTGAAACCTTAAGAGAATCACCTGACATTATGCAAAAATCACAAGAGAAAACGCCACTATTTACTTACTTGTTGCAAAAATGATTGCAAGAAAACAAGTATATGTTAGGATATTCTTGCTCCAATAATGGCGGACAGGTAAAATATGTCTAACTTTTTTTGCAATTTTGTGTAACACATATTCAACATAAAAAAAAAATTAGCGCTTCTTTTTCTGTAACATTTTAGACTAATGATTCGTTGTGCATTCAAACCCATTATATTACATTAGTATTGGTTGAAAATACTGTGGGGGTGTTTGGAACCCAAGTTTTTGAGCAAGTTTGTTTGCTACTAGTTTTTATACAACTTTTGCTACAGGAACCCAAAAAATTCAGAAAAACTCACGTTTGTTCCCTTGTTAGTCTTTTAGCAAAACGATGTCGTTTTGCCGCATCTTCTTTTGAAACCCCACGATTTTGCCGAAAAAACACTGCTTGGACTGTTCCTCGTTTTTTCAACTCACAGAAGCGGTGCCCTGTACAGCAATTTACCCGGCTCACCTGCGCAATTTGGCCATTCGACGTGGAGGTGATCAGAGCTTGGAGAAGCGCCGGGAAACAACTGCAGCTCTGACCTGCAGAGTAGAGGCGCTTGATTGGAAGGTGAACGAAGGTTCGGCTTAGCTGATTCAGTCCCTCCGACAAACGGCTGTGCCAGTCCGAAAGCAAAAGACTGCCGTGCTTCCGTTTAGGAAAGTTCCCCTCAGCTAGTAGCATAGATTTGAGCCAGCCACGCTTCAATTTTTGGAACTGAAACCGCAGCAAGCCAGAAGCATTTTCTGGATTTTTTTTGTTGATTACTCCTTGTATATGGCGTGCTGCGGTCTTGGATTCTTTAAGGTTTTGGTATTAAATAAGCCAAAATTTGGAGAAAGGCTGCTGAGTCAATTGCCCTCCCCTCCGTTGATTTGTTATACTTGGTGTCAATTTCGGACAGAGTTGAAAGCTCCATGTTGATTAATTTGGGTAATGTGTTAATTAATTTTTTAACATTGATCTGTTAGAATTAATTTGAGTTAAGTTTTTAAAAAATTTGTACAGTAAATTTTTTTACAACTTCTACAGAGTGACCTGCAGTAAAGTTTTAGACAAATTTCTAAATAACTCAGGTTCCAAACGGGGTTATTGAACAAAATAGCGAGAATAATTAATCTGAGTCCATAGTTGTTGTTTGATTTCAAAATTACCTCGCAGTTCAGTTGGCGCCCAAAATTTTCAAGGACAAAACCATCACCGCACCTCGGGAAATGAGATCGAGATATGGGAGCTATAAATCTTTCAGCGCAATTGTTCGTGTTGCGCAGATTCCTGTACGAAAATATCCATAACTGAAAGTTCTCTTTTGTCTTCTCTGAACGAGAGACTATAGTAGTACTATTATAAGGGTATAATTTCAGAAATCTCCGTGATATTTTTAACTATTTCACTTAGCTCCATCCAAATTTTAAAATTTACACTTACATCCCTTGATTTGACGCTTTTATTACGAAACCTTAAAGTAGTGTCAAAAATTTAATGAATATTCTAAAATATCCTTGTCTTATAAGGTTTAATTTATTCTTCTAAACTCTTGTAAAGTAATTTGACATAATTACAAAAGGAATAATGAGTATCAAGTTTTTCGTGTCAATATTTGTTGTTTAATAATCAATTATAATAATAAATCTATTGCTATAAGAGGCTATTTTTTATAATGCTTCATTGGAGATATAGATCCTTTTTAAGATAGAGAATAAAATATTATCTTGATTTTTTTAAAGGTTTATCGACTAGTTCAGTGGCAGAACTACTGTAGTTTGATAGTGAATTTGGACCATTTGTTTTTAAGTTATTGTTGATTTTGATACAAAGAATAAAGGAGTTCAAAAGTTATCAAAAATGTTACTAGTTAAATGTTTAATCAGATAGATATTAGGGACAACATTAATTGATAGTTATTTCGAAATTTTAGATGAAATATAAGAGAAATTAATAAGAAGGAAAAAGGGAAAAAAAAGTTTATAAAACCCATACTTTTGTATAGGCATGGCATACAAGAGAGATTTATTAGAATGTTAAGGTTAGTGTTGTCATTTTAGACGAGCAAGGGTGATATGTGTAATTTTTGAAACCTTAGAAGTGTTAAGTGAAATTGTCAAAATCTCACGGGAGGTTTATGAAACTATCCCTAGTATAAAAACAAAGGTCCAGTATATGTCCTTTGTCTCCTTTTTTTTTTTTATCTATTTTAGTAGTGTAGAATTTAGCTGGCTGAAATCCCTTTGGCTTCTTCCAAAGCAAAGGATCTTTTCCAACTGCTCAAGCATTGACAATTACTTGTGTTCTCGCAATCTCCTTATCCATATCTACGTTTTTCACCTTAATTTCCATAATTTTTTATTGATTAGTTGTTTTCTTTTACCCTTCTTTTCACATTCTATTTTGGGTTTTTCTCTCTCTTTTTTTTTTTTGCTTTGGTTAATTGTACTGTGTTAATTGATGATGATGATTCAGTAATGATCAGATTCTTCAATATGAATTGCATGAATGGCCAACCCCATGCATGGTTTCAATCAATTGTATTCCGTGCACGTGCATATATGGTTTCGGCCAACTTTGTTTTGACAAGATGTTTTCGTGATTGTTAGAAAATTAGAGACTCAAATAAGATTAGAAAAATAGAGAGTTAGATGATTAACTAATCCTTTTTGCAACATATTAGTTTGACGAGTATAAATCATCTTTAACTCAAAACGACCCAGCATGCAATTTTAGAAAATATTACTCACTTTCATTGATTCATGAATCATTAATTGCTTTACTATACTAATAAGGAAAAAAGAATTAATAAGTGTGTTTGGATTGAAATGATTTAAAAAAAAAAAATAATTTGTTTCACAAATTCAAATCATCTTTTTTATCTCACATACATCACATCA